CATAGCTATAAATACAGACATGGCTAGCTATATTACTTGGCTTAATGACATTTTCCGTTCAGCCACAGTCTGAGTTTTTTACGATTATCTGAGGCTGACTGTTAGAAATTTATCTTTGAGGAGAACCTCTCTCACCTGTGACTCTGAGTCCACCGTGGTATGCTTTCTGATAGCGTCCTTAAGATGCTGTAGAAAGGTAAGAGGATTTTTTTCTTTTTAGGTTGTTGCTATAAAGTAAAGTTGTTATTTTACATTGACACCTGACACTCTGGAGAGCAGGTCTCTGAACTGTTCTGGGCCTCAGTTTCCTCACTTGAAGAATGAGGGGGTCTGGTCTAGGTTAAACTACATTTTTCTACTGTGAGATGGCTGAAGTGACATTAATGCCACTTACCTTCTTTACCATTTTTATTTTTTTTAGTAATACTGGGGAATTGAAACCAGGGTTTTGCACATGCTGGGCAGACATTCTCCCACTGAGCTACTTCCTCAAATATTATTATTTTTTTTTTTCACTTTGGCTGTACTGGGCTTGAACTCAGGACTTTATGCTTGTAAAGAGGCACTCTACTGCTTGAGCCATATACTCATTTCTCATTAGACTCTTATCTAATGAGATAAGAGTCTGGTCTAGTAGAAGCATAATATCCTTTCATGTCAGTTGAAAGGTTTGGATCACAGAGATAAAGGCTTGAATGTATTTGTCTGGGCATCAGTACAGCTGTTTAGATGTTTAAATTTCCCTTAGCTCTGATAACTGGAAGGGGACATACGACTTGCCCTCTTCCTACCATTGTCTGTTGAAGAGGGAAGTACTTGTTAAGAGGTTCTGAGTATTGGAGTGGCTTAGAAGGTAGAATTTGTATAGGGGACCTCAGTTTACTTTTTTTTTACTTTTATAGAAAAGGTTTAATTGGAGTATGGTATTGTAATTTAAGGAACCCTGTGAAGGCCACTTCTGTTTGTCACCCAAGGCATACTCAGGCTGCCCCTAAAAGATTTTTAGGGTCATGTCAAACTAAAATCAAATGCTCTATGTCTATGAAATAACAAGGTTATCTTAATATTGTTCTGCTCTTAGTAACATCTACAAAAAACCATTACAGAGAAAGATTTTATAAAAGAAATTATTTGTGTTTTCTGCTGATCTTGTCAAGCTTTAAGTACTACTAAATCAGAGTTCATTTACATATTTGCTTATGTGTCTTAAATGACTACCTTGTGACAGTGTTATCTAAATATGGTACAAACATTTAAAAGGTTAAAAGTGTCAATTTATATAAAATAATGAGCTAAAGCTCTCTTTTATCCAAGAGTGTTACATTTAAATCCTGACAGCCCCTGCCTCCCACAGGTCACCTACCTAGGTGTGGCCTTAAAGGGACAGACTCATTCCCTGAGTCATAAATGCATCAATCCAATCTTCTGTTTCCCAACCCCCATACCATAAGACAGCTTACAGCTTTCCTTGCAGTTATAGGATTTTGCAGAATTTAGATCCCTAGGTATATAGTCCCTGAACAGACACTTTTTTATGCTCCTCCTAATATTCCTATTTGGGTCTTAGATAATGTATGGCCACCCATTTCTCTTAGAAAAACTTGCCTCCAACAGACTCTGCTCCTCTGGCTGACTACCTGCCTTCTCAGGGAACTTCTCAGAGAGCATGCAAACCAGATCCTGCCCCACCCTATAACAATTTCTGTTAAACCAGGGCATCTTGTTCTCCAAAAAGGATCTTCTACCTTCTCCATTGGGACTTTGATGGACCAGTCCCCATCTGGTCATTCTCATGACACCCACTACTGTTAAGCTCAATGGGTTCCCCCAATGGCGGCACCACTCAAGAAACAATTAGAAAAATGGAGAAGGGAATTGGAGGACTCTTGAAATTGTCTAGGGTACAACATTTCACAGTGGTTCTCCTGGCCAATGCCCATCCTAATGCCTATGTTTCTTGCTCTCCCATTCTTAAGCTTCCTCCCTTGTGTCATACTACATGTCTGCTATTGCTAATCAAAAATTTAACCAGTTGTACCTCCAGGGACACCAACCTCTCTAAAACCATCCAGTGGACTGCTCTGAGGGCCCCCACCAGGACACAGGAGCCTGAGGATCCTGCCCCATACAACGCCCCCTGCCAGCAGATCTCATTGCTTGGCTCTTACCCCTCCTTGGACCTATATTCATGCTGATTGCCTTTTGCACCCTCCTACCTTGTCTGTTAAAATTTCTACAAACCCAGGTCAACAAAATCTCTAACCAAACCTTTAACCAGCTTCTCCTTCAAGGATACCAACCCCTGAAAACACAACCAGAGGACACCTATAATGGACCTACCAGGACACCGGGTTATAAACATCAAGACCCCTCACAGAACACCTGCTTCAATTCCTCAACTCCCTACACGAAGATGGATGGCTAATACCTGCCATATGGAGTCCAGAGGATTGGCTCGAGACTCTTTACGACCTGTGGCTACAAGAGACCTTCATCAACTTCAGGCAAGAGGAAACTCTCATTTTCGGAGTCTGGGTGTATGCCATCATGAGACTCACCACCCCAATGCTGTTTGCCAACTAACCCTCCCTTCCCCTATGCCGCCCCTTGTCAGCTCGAAGAAGCCAGAACAAACACAACGCCCCCTTAACAAAGAAAAAAGGGAGGAATGTTGGCAATAATGGCGCCGATAGGTTTCGTTTCTCACTGCACCCTTAAGTTTCTGTTTCCCAGGGTCACGGTCCTGCCTCAAGTCTGGCTTGAATTCTCCTTCTGCCCCAACCTCCAATCAGCATGAACCATAAGATCCTAACCAATCAGATCATGCTGAGTCTCACTGAGGGGTATTTAAGCCCCTGCTCGTCTCTCTCTCGCTCTCTTGGCTCTCTCCCTCTCCCATCTGGCAATAAAGAATCTCTTGGCCAGATCATTCCTCTCTACATGGTCACTTTGGGGCCTACAAAACCCTCATTGCTTCTTTTTTCTATCTTTATTCTTTAAAGCCTTATGCCTTTGTGGTTCTTTAAAACCTTGCTGAAAACCTCTTTCCTTAGACTTGCTCTGTCCCTTGTTTTCTCTTACTGCTAATCACTCTTAAAGTCTTTTGCTGCCAGGCTTGCACTGTCCCATCTCTCTTTAGCTTTCTTAAAGCCTTGGTGCTCAGACTTGGGAACAACAGCTGAGCCTAACAAACTGCATATGCATAACTCTTAAAAGTCTCGGTCCTCTATCTTGCACTGTAAAGTTCTTTCTTTGGCTTTTCTTTAGCTTAGCTTTTCTAAGGCCTATGTATAAAGTTCTTTCTTTAGCTTAGCTTTTCTAAGGCCTATGTTAAAGTTTTCGGTGAAGACATTCTATCAACCCCTCTTTAGCCATCCCCTTTAGCAATCTTTTCCCTTCCAAATGCATCCCATACCAAAAAGCCCAAAGTGAAAAAACCCAAGCCAAAACCCAAAGACAAAAAGCCCCTCTTCCTCTTTCAGGAGTCTTTTATAAACAGGGTGGAGCAACGGCTCTCAGAGAGGGGCATGACATTTTAACAGGAGAAACCTGTTTTCCCGCTTCTCTGAACACAAACAATTTAGGAGAAACAGCTGTTCTGCTTCTGGGGCTTTGCCAATCTCAGAAAAGCAGGAGAGCTGCATCTCGCCTTGCTTGTATCCAGTTCTCACAGGCTTTCCATAATCTGCTCTCCACAAAAAATTAGAGCAGAACCAAAAGCTGGTTCTTTGAAAAGATCAATAAAACCAGTAAGCCAATAGTTGGGCTAAGAGAAATAAAGACCAAGTACTAATATCAGAAATGAAGGAAAGGACTTCTTACAGATCCCAGGGACATTTAAAAAAGACAAAAATACTAAGAACAACTGTATCATAAATTTGAAATAGACCAATTCCTTCAAAGACATGGTCTGGCAAAACTTTCATAGGAAGACTTATACTTTGGGACTGTCTCCCAAAGGCACATATTTTGATGGCCTTGTCTTCAGCTGGTGGTGCTACTGGGAATGCTAGAAATTTTAGGAGGCAGGACCTACTTGGAGAAAGCAGATCATTGGGGGGTATGTCTTTGAAAGGACATGGCAGAGATGATGACTACTGGGACCCCTCCTTCTGCTTTCTGTTTCCTGGCTTCTGTGGGCTTTGGGTATTCAGTCACAACTGCAGAAAGTGGACTAACACAGGAAACTGATACTGAGATAGGGGGTTACTGCTGTGATTACACTTGACCATATGGCTCAGAAGTCTTTGGAAACAGTTTATAGGAGGAATCTGGAAACATTTGGAGATGTAGGCCAGAAAAGTCCTAAAATGCTATCAGCAGAGCTTAATGGGGAATTTTGCTGAGGACTGAGAAGACCAGAATGCTGATACTAATGTAGACACTAAAGGCTGTGCTGATCTTTGACAAAGGAGAAAGACAATACAATGAAACAAAGATAGTCAATAGTTTTCTTCAATGAATGGTGCTCGAACAATTGGAAAAAGTGAATATATATATAAAAAAAAGAGTCTAGACAGACTTTATACCTTTCACAAAAGTTAACTCTAAGTGGATCATAATGTGAAATGTGAAAAATAAAATTCCCAAATGACAGTATAGGAGAAAGCCTAGCTGAGAATAGGTACAGCTGGCTCAGGTGGCAAGTCCCTTAGTTCAAACCCGGTAAGTACCACAAACAAACAAATGAAATGTCTTTTAGTAGGCGAATGGATAAATAAACCATGGTACATCTATGCAAAGGAGTATTATTGAACACTCAAAAGAAATGAGCTATCAAGCTAGGAAAAGAAACCCTAAATGTGTATTACTCAGTGAAAAAAGTCAATCTGAAAAGACGATTTACCATATGATTCCAATTGTACTCGATCTCCTACTTCATCAACCTCTTTAATTCTTACCCATAATCCTGAAAATGATAAAAAGTCTTAGGAGAAAAGATAAGGTAAAGGCTTATAAGGCAACCAGCTCTGATTCTTGTTTGTAACACCAAGAATCACCTTGATTTCCTGTGGAAGTGTGAGCCACCGAACTCCAGGGAGGTTGTCTAAAAGCACTGTGCTGGAAGCTTCATACTGCTGAGCACTGGGACTGGCACTAGAATGCAGGGTAGTAGGCTGAAGTGCTCTTTGAAAGAATAAACTGAAAAAGTGATCCAAACGAGGGACATTCTCAACCTGGCAAAAGGCACTGAAGAAAAAAAGAGCCACAATTAGAACAATGCATAGAAATGCTGGTTATTTTGGTATGCTCCTCAGGGGACTGGCAGTTTCCCAACTACTAGGCTCTCTTCTCCCTCCCTTCCCTTAATAAGAGACATTGCTCTGATGTTACTAAACATATCCACAAATGTACTGAAAAGATGATGATGCTATAGACGAATCACAGGGCCGACACCAGTAGCATATGTACAACAGAAAGGGCTGAAGTATCTTTGTTTATCTTTCTTTTTGGTTTTATAAAAAATATAAATTGCTTTTACAAACTCTATCTTTCAACCATTCACAACTCCCAATATCTTTCAGGCAACATAGAACAGATGTGACTTGAATCTTATCACATGAATCTTACTAGGTCATTATCATAGGACAAATCACCTAACATCTCTTTGAATTTTGGTTTCCAGTTCTAAAAAATGGGATTAATACCATCGAACTCCCATGAAAACTACCTAGTATCTATTAAGTATAATTTCTTCTATACTTATTACTTACAATTAAGTACAAAATAAGGATCTAAGTTATTCCTTCTCCCAACTGAAGGCATAATTATTAAAGATGAGAGAGAGAAAGAGAAGAGGAGGGACATAAAAAAGGGGATGAGAGGAGAGGAAAAGAGAAAGAAAGAGGAAAGAGGAGAAAAAAGATATTAAATACTTGGTTTTAGCAAGGTAAGAGTAACACAGCATTAACTGCAACCGCTCAGTAAATGACATCATAAGTGATATATATGATATTAACATACCAAAGTAATATTTACTGATTCATCCAACAAATACTTGAGCACCTACTTTGTTCTAGTCACTGTTCTCAATGTTGGTGGTACAGCAGTAAATATATCAAGACAAAAGACAATGAGTTCCTATGGAGCTCACATTCTAAAGCAGAAAACAACAAATGAACCACCAATAAAACCATGAGTTGATACAAGGACTATGCAGAGAACAGGATGATGTGAAATGGTAGTGTAACTGGTTGGCTTTCTCTTTTTCTTTTACTTTTAAGACAGGATTTTATTACAGTGCCCACTGGTTGGACCTTGTGGGCTCAAGTGATCCTCCCACCTCAGCCTCCTAAGTAGTTGGGAATGCAGGTGTGTGCCATTGTGGCTGGGTGGTTGGCTATTTTAGACTAAACAATTAAGGAAGAGTCTGAGAATGGAGCATTTAAGCTGATATCCCAAAGTCATGAAGCTCCAGCAAGTGGAAAGAGTAAATCCCTGGGGTGGGGATAAACTTTGCCAGTGTGCCCACAGTACAGAAAGGAGGGGTGGATGCATTTTGACATGTGAAGTCAAACAGGTAAGTAGGAGCCAGACAATAATGTAGAAGCATCATTATAACTGCTCTCTGGAAATCAGTTAAAGCAGCAAGAATGGAGGTAAGGAGACCAATGAGGAGCTACTAGACTGGTATGAGATACCAATGGCTGGCTGAACAGAGCAGTAGTGAAAATGGAGAGAGATACTTTGAGACAGACTGACCAGGACTTGCTGATGGATCAGTTGTGGATGGTGAAGGGAAATGTTACATCTTTAATTTGGTTATCATCCTAAACTATTAATATGTAATCAGTTTTCTGTGGCTCATAGGAAACTAGCCCACGACTTAAAAAAAAAAAGATAATTCTTTGAATTTTTAAAAATCTTTTTTTTGTAAATTTTCACAATGGGCTTCCATAATCATAAAAAACTTTGTTATTAAAATTGTTGAAAAATGTCTGTTAGTAACATTTTGGATCCATATTGCTTGTTGGTTTTAAGAACTCAATAGATATTCTCACCTATTATCTTAGTTTGACTTTGAATTCTCACTTGAACAGTAGAAACTAATTAAATTTTCTGCCATTGTATAGATGCTTCAAATCAATGGAAGCTAAATTTCAAGGTGAAATTCAGAGAAATTGAGTCCCTGTGACCCCCCCACCTATTCCGCTAGAGTTTGCAAGGCAACGTCAATCAATTGTTTTCATGTGTGAAATTTACTGCAGAAATTTAGTCTTCGAAAATCTCTCATTTTCTGGAAACCAAAAGCTTCAACTAAGGCATAATATAATTAATCTAAGGAGGTAGTTTATAATCACATCCTTACTCTTCACCACTTAAATTTTTATTTGTAAAAGATAAAAGCACTGTTTACAGATGCCCAGGCTTTTAAAACTCAGGTCACTTATTTAGAAAATACTGGTAAGTAATCAAGGTTGGGAGGGATGAGCCTCCCCAAAAGTCCCTCCAGTGGAGGGAACATTGTAAACTAGAAAATTTTACCAGATGACGAACACAGAAAATTCCTCTGTGATGCTTTGAGAACAGTGACAATAAAGACCCATCATAGATAATCAAAGAGCTGATACCACTGTGGTTTGGAGAAATGTGTAAACTGTTCTTGAATTTTTATACTGGTATATTCTTAAGGCTTTGAAAGCAAAGATCTCATTTTAACCCTTAGAAGTACTAGGACTTATAAAAATCCCACTAAGAGAAAAATCTGTTTTCTGTGTATACTTCTACATGTGCAAATGTTTAATAGTTACTTCAAATTTCTTCCTTCACATCAAGAAATATATATCACATTATAAGGTTATAAAAGCAAGAAGCAGAAAAATATGCATAATATAGGCTAGCTGTGTATAAAAGAGTATGTATATTCATATTTAAAGAAAATACAGAGGAATACATATGAAACTAGCCAACTGTGTGTCCTTCATAATTGTATTTTTTTACTAATAGCTTTTTTAAAGAAAGCAGCATTATATTTTAGGATAGTAAATTTGACAATGCTCTTATAGGCAGAGAAAATACAAAATTTTATTTATAATTTGTTTAAAATCTTACTCTTTTCTATATGTTCTGAAGAAATACTCTACATTTGCCCCCTAAATAAAAATACCAAATCATTATATAGTAGTATATATGTTACTATATATGATAATATAGTATGCTATAGTGATCAGTATGTACTATAGAATAGCGATAACATAGTATTTTTTCACAAAAAATTTTCACTAAAGGAATATATGAGACCTAAAAAAGGGGGGAAAAAAGAAATAGATCAAAAGAAAAACTACCTAGCATTATAAAATAAAAGCCAATAATAAAATATGAGAAAATTGTAATAAGAATAAAAAAGAGGATGAACAACTAACTTCCCAAGAAAGAAAAAGTACTATTAAGTACAAATGGCAATATAGTCACATACTGAACACTTTAGTGTTGGGTTCAAGAAGTACTTACCCATCTAAAGAACCAAACATAAATTTTAAGGTTTGGGCAACATCTTGTATCATACTCCTTAGCTGAGGAAGAGGAACTCTAAAAACAAGAAAAATGCACCTATTCGTTATAACATGACATTTATCTAAAAGGAGAGCATTTTTACTTTTTATGTGTAATGTATATGTCAATTGTAAGCAAAATTGTGAAAATGATTGCATACAACATTAGCAACTGATCACTGAGGTCTAGGTTTAGGTATTCAGCAGGAATCAAATATGGACTTTTATGCTACATTAATATGCAAATTATTTAACCTGTTTATGTTCACTATCCATCTATAAAATGGCTCATTAATCCACAAACTTTTTTAGATTGATTTTGAGGATTAAATGAAATTAATTAAGTTGAAGATTAAATGAAAATAATAAGTAGTTAATGTAACATTTAAGCACATAGAAAGAAATGCTAATTTTTTCTCCTGAGCTGGGGATCAAACCCAAGGCCTGGTACATGCAAGGCAAGTAAGTACTCTACTATTGGGCTACATCCATAGGTAGAAATGCTAAATTATTGGCATTTTTCAGCATTACCCAGATTGCAACTGAACCTTCAACTCTTATGACAAAAACAATCCCATAAATGACATGAAGAAAGTATAGATATGTCATAACCCAACTCTGTTAATTAAGTGTGCCAAAACACCCAGATCTAGAGCTGTATTGAAAACCTACACTCTGAATTAAATATAGAAGCCTACATTATGGATACAAATATAGTTATAAAATAGATGCTTAGTTTAGCATTTTGTTAGTATCAGAGAAAACTAGAAAGAGTTAAAGCTAAATAGAAATTAATGATTACCTAGTAACTCGTGTCCCAGTTACATTTTCCAGCATGTCACAGAGTGTGAGGAGTTTTTATTTGACAAAATGTCCTAATTTTAATGAAACCATTACTTTAGAAATCATTTTTAAAGTAAATTAAAATCTCAACTTACTCTTCAGCAGGGAGACCAATCAATAACAACTTGTCAAATTCTTTCAAGTAAGCTACATGAATTTGCTTCCCACTTAAAAGGAGGGATGAACTAAAAAAAATTCAAAATAAGGTTAGTTTCTTTAAATGTCATAAAATTATAAAACTTACCCAGAAAAACCACAGAGTATGATTTAAGAAATGAATGCTCAATAAGCAAATTTCTTTGCATATACTTAACTGCTACTCAGAAAAGGCAAGGAATTGTATGAAAATAGAAATACATTTAAAAATATTTAAAAAACAGAAACAACCCCTCACTATTTTTAAAATGTTTAAATTCTTTTGATAACATTAAGTAGCTACACATATTTATTTTTCAAAAGAAAGCTCCCACCAGAGTTGGTTTACATCTTTTATGAGTGCAAATTATGAATGTGACATGCTAAGGAGATTACAAAGAAAGAAAAATGTGATTCTAGCTCAGAAGACGACAATCCAATATGGGATCTAGATATATGAATATGTAACCAAAATATAAGTCAGCCTTAAACACCCTCTCAAGAAAATTTTGGGGTAATGGATACATTCATTGTATGTATGGGATGGCTCAGGGGTATATACTTATGTTAAAACTGAACAAATTGTACATTTTACATATGTACAATTTATCGTACTTCAATTATACTTCATGAAGCTGCAAAAATTAAATGTGTTCTCAAAAGAGATATAATAATGAAACTACAGAAATATAGAGGTGTGTAGAATTTTAAATATGAATAATTAAATAGATTTTCCCAAAAAGAACATCATTTTTATCTTAATAAGGTTTAAAAATGCATATGCTTTTAGACAAATACTAGACTCATAGTAAATTACATAGTTTAAAAATGTATATGCAGTGATGTACACATATTGCTATGGAACCCCTAAAATAATAATTTTCCTATCTATTTTTTCCTCAAAAAAGTTTTTCTAACAGTATTTACTACTTTTTACATGTTTAACTTATATCTAACCACTAATAACAAGGTCTAAATATTAAGTAAAATGGGCATCTACCCTATAAGGTAGGAAAAAAAAAAGCAAACCTACATAAAGGAACTTCATTTTATTTTCTTTTTCTTAGCAGTGCTGGGGATGAACTCAGGCTCTTACATGTACTAGACAAGTGCTGTACCAGTGAGCTGCACCCTAATTCTTTACATGAAGAACCTTAAAACAAATTGTCTTTCTAAGGAGGCACGCACCTTGGAAATACTATGCTAAATGAAAGAAGCCAGTCACAAATAGCCACATATCATATGATTCCATTAATAGGAAATATCTAGAACAGGAAAATGTATAGGAATGGAAAGCAGGTCAGTGGCTGCCTAGGGCTTGGGCTGGATTTAAGTTGACAGCTAAAGGGTATGAGGTTTCTTTTGGAGGTGATGAAAATGTTCTAAAATTGACTGTGGTGATGGTTGCACATACTTGTGAATAAATTCCAAACTACTATATACATTTTAGATGGGTAAATTGTATCATTTATGAACTATACCTCAATCAAGTCCTTAAAAACATAAAAAGGGCTGGGGGTACAGTGGCATATAGCATTTGCCTAGCAAAGTGTGAGGCCCTAGGTTTGATTAATAAGAATTAATTTATAAGAATAAAAAGAGGTCTGCAAGGTGCTTTTATACATACAGATTTATATACTAAATGGAGTCTCTGGCACTGTATGTCTTGAAAATGAGCTAATTTATATATACTACATTAAAAGTTTTTATCTATAAAACAAACTACTCCTATTGTATCACACTTACTTTTTTAAATCACAAAAGAGTAATTTTTAAGAGAAGATGGGAAAAGTTAAAGCCTAAAAAATTCAATTTGATATTTTATTAATAATATTGGGCTGTTAAAATTTGAAATAACTTTTTTCTAGAGACCAAAATTATTGAAATATTAAGGAAGATATTTTGTTTGTAATAATGTATTCTATGAGAAAAAAATTCTCAAAAGCATTGAGATCATCTCTTAAATTAACTATGGCATTTCAAAGTCAAGGCTTGATAACTCTATGTGGAACAGGGGTTTTGCTCTATAACTGACTACATACTGTGTTCTGTTTTTCTTTTCTTTCCCCCTAGTGCTGGAGAGCAAACTCAGGGCATACAAACTTCACAGATGACAATGAATTCTGACTATTCCTCCTAAAATATAGTCTATATTTTTCTATCACTACTATTAAGAACAAAGTATTTTCTGTGTGAAAAATTCAGTATTCAGTCATTCTTGCCAATCACAAAGATATTGTCGAGCAAGTTAATAATCATGATAAAAACTAGAAGAAACAGACTCATAATAATGCCATGTTTAAAAGACAACACTTTTATGAAGAAAGTATAAATATGTCATAACCCAACTCTGTTAATTAAGTGTGCCAAAACACCCAGATCTAGAGCTGTATTGAAAACCTACACTCTAAATTAAATATAGAAGTCTACATTATGGATACAAATATACTTATATAATAGATGCTTAGTTTAGCATTTTGTTAGTATCAGAGAAAAGAACTAGAAAGAGTTAAAGCTAAATAGAAATTAATGATTACCTAGTAACTTGTGTCCCAGTTACATTTTCCAGCATGTCACAGAGTGTGAGAAAAATTCCTCTCACACTTTTAAGTTTCTGAGATGCTTCAGACATTGGATAATGATAGAGAATTTCTTGCTGTTAAATGAAAGGAAAGAGAAATGATCAACTCCCCCTTCCCAAAATTTCCAACCATTATTTTTGTTATGGGAAGTTCAGACTTTGTATTAAGAAAGGAACAAAAAAGTGAATACGTTCAGCTTCAGTGAGAGTTTTATTCTAACACACAGACAGAACTATACCTGGAATTCTAACACATTAGCATTGAAAAGGCTACATTTGAAAATCAGCGAGACTGTTAATTAGTCACAATACCAAAATACATACTAATTAGATACTGATTAATTGAAATGACAGTAAATTTTAACCCGTGTTTCAAACTTTAATTTCCATAACCATTTCTAATACTGGTATTTTATTCTATTCTATTCTACGTATATTCTTATCCTCTATAGTTAATATAGCTACACGCACCACATGAGCTGTTAGGAGTCTTTAAATTCAATTTCTTTCATACTGACTTTTAAAAGATAATCTTCATCATTTTTGTAAAATTATCAAATATTTATTTAAACCCAAGACAAAACTGCAATTACACTTGCAAAACTAAGTTAAAGTAGTACAAATAGAAAGAAAAAAGGATCACAGCATTCTAAAACCTTACCTGTCTTAAATTTGAAAGGGTTTACTATCATTAATTTGAATTCAAATGTTAAAAGACAGCACATTATACTTTAAATTATGAAAAATGCTAATCTGTAAGATAATCAACAAAAATGCCTACTGTTTTCCTACTTTCCAGATGAGTATGTTCCAAGAAACAAACAGCCATCACAAAATAAAATAGTAAGTTTCAAAATCAGGAGGTACACTGTGCTAATACTTTTAAAACACAAAGACACAAGCCATTTTGTGTCCCACTTTTTACTGTTTCTAAGGCAACATCTATTTTTCTTACAAGGAAAATTAAAAGCAGACAAAATAAGAATTTCTAGCTAGAAACCATGGAGAGTTCAGTCACCTCCAGTTCAAGGTTTAAGGACCATATCCATGAATATAACAGCCATAATTAAAAGCCCAAGCGGCTCAAGTGTTTTCCTATCTTTTCCTTGGTTCTCTCTTTAAAGAGTCTCTATTGAAGAAATAATTACCTGTCACGTATTGGCAATTTTTACATTATGACATATAAATAATGATAAACTGAACACATCTGCCTTTTATGCTTACAAAGTACATTCAATATATGCAAATTTCTTTGGCCAAATACATTCTGCCTAACAATTCAAATATTCTTGCAATATTTCCATTGTAAAAAGTCATAAAACATTATTTCATCTCTAGAAATTAAGTCAAACATCAATTAAGATCTGCTGTGTCTACTAAATATAAGTTTAAACCTTGGCTAATAAATCCTTTCATTATATTTAGCCAAAATCCATACACAACACTGTTTAAAATAATCTTCGATTGGTTTGGTCACAGCTTACAGTGCTTACATTCTAAGTCTTACAGATTACATTCTAAATCTTAAAAACTACAGCTTTTATAAAATACGTAACTCATAGAAAACTGACTCTATGATGTTTCATTGTAAAGTAAGTCATACTAAAGCCTTACTATGAAAGAGCTGGCAAGCTCTACAGTTCCTAACCAATTTAATTAGCTGTATTTTTAAGCACTTGTTAGTAGTATGCATTTGTAGCAGCTTGTACTCTGTTCAATAAGAATAAAAGCCTCTCCTAATTACAGTGTTGATACAGAGCTGGCAACAGACAGAAACTTGTTCATTTGAGAAAACATCCATACTTTCCCAGGGAAAGAAAGGCAAAGATGACAAAGGGTCTTAGCAATATCCTACTCTAAAATGACCTAGAAAGATTCAGATGTTATCCCTGAAGTTCACTGGGTGTTTTATATAATAAATGTTTAAAGTTCTCATTTGATTTAAAAATATAAGGAGCCAGTAATACACATAAGAAGTCAGAATTATTAACTCAGTATATTTCTTAGAAAAGAGAAAAATGGCAAAAATATTTATAAGGTAAATCCCTTCTCTGCCATTTTGATTATTTAAGTTTTGACATATGGAACAACACAAGGAAACGTATTCCTTAGGTAAAATGGCTTTGGCATAGGGAACTCAGGCTGAAAGGACTTTGAAGCAAAGAAGTGCAGATTAATTTAAAAAGCCTTTTTAGATCTCACTTCTGCTAAAGCATTATAGCAGACTAAATGTTTTGAGAGAGTCTCACATGGCAAAACTAGATTTCTGGGCAACACATACTTGTTGAATTGCTGGCATGCAAGAAGTACAGAGGTTTCCAAGGCACCCTCTCCATACTCCTCCAACCTCCATCCCCATCACTGCAAAGAAAGCTGGGGCCCACGCTGGGTGTGCTGAGTGCTGGGCAAAAGGACAGAGGCAGGATTACCCTGAGAGCTGATGCTTACCATAGCACTGGGCTGGTGGTGTGAGTGAGCCAAGCCCAGCACCACTAAGTAAAGCCCAGACCCTAAGTAAGGCTAAAGTGCCCTAGGTTAGAAACACAAGAAGCAAATTCTCCCTGGAGAAAAGCATTCCCTCTTTAGAACCACAGGACTTCTAAGATACAATCAAGCAGGAAGTTTATACAAAGTTCCTCAAAGACATCCTAGTGCAAACCACTTGCTGTGATTTAGATCTTAAATGGCCCCCAAATGCCTATATGCTAAAGACTTGATCATCAGAATACAGTGCCAATGGAAGGTAATGGAATCTTTAGCAGGAGATCTTTGGGGGTGTACCCTTGAGAAGGATATTAGGTCCCTGACTCCCTCAATCTCTCTCTTCATTTCCCAGCCACCACAATCAGCTTTGCTCTATCACACACTCTGTTATGCCTCGCCACAGGCCCAAAGCCAATGGAGCCAAGTGACCATGGACTGAAATTTCTGAAAATGTGAACCAAAATAAACATCCTCCTTTTCAGTTTACCTTAGGTATTTTGTGATGGTGACGGAAAGTTGACTAACTCATTACTTGAGTAGTATTGGCAGATATAGAATACAGAACAGCTATGTATGAAATGTGTAGTGAGATAAAGTACAGAATCACAAAGATAAGCAAAGAACAGGAGGCTCCATGCAATATCACTGCAGACTTGAGATGTAGGGTACATTAAAAACTTTTCAGAAATTTCTAAAAATAATAATATAATCACTGCAACAGAAATCATAATGGAAAGTTTAAACAACAGTTTGGACATAGCAGAAGCAAGAAACTGAACAAAAGAAAAAATCATGTTCTTGACAAAGGCATGGCAGACTGAATATAGACTTCTTAAAAGCAATAATGGAGTCAGAAAACAAGGAATGCTATTTTCATATTAGAGAAATATGTGTTTTCTTCATCTTCTTCCTGGCCACAAAGGAAGACTACATTTCTAATCTCCTTGCATCTGGAAAGACAGTGTATCTACACTAACCAATGGATCATGGGCAGATGTGATGTTCCTACTTTAAGCAGGGCCTCCAAAATGTCCCGTGTGATACTGCAGGCTTTCTCTCTCCTCTTGGCCAGCCAGGCAAAGGAGCCAACAGAGGGCTCAAAGACCTTGGAAATAATTGGACCCACTAGATGAAGGGCTGGGACCAGGAATATTTACAGTGAAATGAGAAATGAATGTCTATTAGTTAAGCTCCTGAGATGGTAGTGCTGTTTTTACAGCAGTTAGTCTATCCTAATTAATACAATCTGCTCTGATGAATCTAATCTAGAATTATAAAGCTACATTTTGAAAAGGATATTGAAAAAGATATCAGATAATTAACAAAAAATTATGACAGACTTTCACTAAAAAGAAATGTCTCAGAAGATCCAATAAGAACTGCAAGAATGCTGAATAAAGAGGTTAAGTAATATAGTAAATTAAATAAAGTTTGCCTTTGTGGAATGCATAAAATATTCATTTTTTAAAATTTATACTTCTTGCAATGTAATTTGTATATCTCATGTATAAAATATAATAATGATCAGCAATAGCAGTAATTTAATAATGCTCAGTTTGCAGAATTAAAAAGAGCAGTAAAATATTGATGACAATAGCATGCAGATGAAGAGGGGCTTAAAGAGAGTTAAGGTACACTAAGGGCCTTGAACTATTTTGAAAAGGGGTTAAGATGGTGCTTAAATTTAGAGTACATAAGAAAACTATCATGACAACATTTAAGAGCAATCACAAAAAAAAAATAGAAACGGTGTATTTAGAAAGAATAATGAGGTAAGCAACCAAAGACACACAAGAAAAGTATCATGAAAAAGTAGCTAAAATACCAAATTTTAAAGAGGATGACAGAAAAAATTCAAATATATCTGTAATCTTTAAAAGTAGACTTGCTGAGCTTGTCAGTTAGAATTTAGAGACTGAACCAGGAATGGTAGTTCACTCCTGTAATCTCAGACTTGGGAGGCTGAGCAGGAGAATTGTGAGTTCTAGGCCAGTCTGGACTATATAGGGAGTTCCTAGACAGTCTGAGGTATATAGTGAGACCCTATCTTCAAAAGTTAAGAGACTGACATATTGTAAGTTGTATGTAAGAGACATACAAAAATATAGATATGGAATTACAAAAAGAAAACATTCAAATATCAGACAGACCTCTACTAATATTAAATATTAAAAATATTTCAAAATGTTAATGCCTAAAAAACCCTGTAAGACAAAGAATACTTCCTGGATATATATAAACTACCAAAATAGAATCATGAAACAGAAAACTGGAACAGAACAATAATTAGTAATGAGATAAAATCAGTAATAAAAAGTTTATCATCAAAGAAAAGTCCAGGACCTGATAATTTCACTACTGAAATCAACCAAACATTTAAAGAAGAACCAATACTGATTCTTCTCTTTTTGAAAAAAATTGGAAGAGGAGAGAACCTTTCCAAACTCATTCTATAAGGTTAGTGTTACCCTGATACCAAAACTAAAGAAGGACATAAGAAAATAAATAAGCACAGACTGAAAAATCCTCAGCAAAATAGTTGCAAATGAAATTCAATAGCATATTAAAAAGATCATTCATCACACTCAGACAGGATTCATTCCAGGGATGCAAGGATGGTTCAATGTACACAAATTACCACATTAAAAGATTCAAAGACAAAATCCATAGGATCATTTAGACAGATGCAGAAAAAGCATCTGATAAAAAACAATATCCCTTCCTGATAAAAATTACCAACAAACTAGGTATAAAAGGAATGTTCTTCAACATAAAGACCATTTATGCCAACCCCAGAGCTAACATCATACTAAAAGGGAAAGAGCTGAAGCCATTTCCTTTAAGATCTGGAATAAGACAATAATGTCCAATTTCACCACTTTATTCAACATAGTACTCCAAGTCCTAGCCAGAGAAATCAGGCAAGTGAAAGAAAGAGAGGGCATCTAAATCAGAAAGGAGGAAATAAAACTGTTCACGACCTTGTCTGCAGAAAACCCTAAAGCTGTTGGAAATAACAAACGAATTCAGTAAGGCTGCAGGATACAAAATCAATATGCACTTTACGTGCTAAAAGTGAGTTATCTGAGGAAAAAATAATTTTTAAAATTCCATCTAAAATAAAGTTGAAATAGAGTCAAAAAAAATCTCAACTAGCCAAAGCAATCTTGAATAAACAGAACAAAGCTGGAGGCATTATATACCTGGCTTTAAAATACAAAGATCAAGTAATTACAACAGCATGAAATTGATGTAAAAACTACCCAAACCAACAGAACAGAATGGGGAGCTCAGATATAACTTTACCCATTTACAGCAACACAGAAGACATGAAAATGGGGAAAGAACAGCCTCTTCAGTAAATGGTCCTGGGGAAAGTAGGTATGTGCATGCAGTAGACCCTTCTCTCTCATTAGTTACAATTCCAACTCAAAATGGAGCAAAGACTTGCATGTAAGACCTGAAACTATGAAACTACGAGGAGGAATCAGGACAGTGGCCTAAGCAAAGATGTCCTTGGTAAGACCCCAAAAGCATAGGCAACAAAAGCAAAAACTGACAGATGGGACTACATCAAACTAAAAAGCTTATGCACAGCAAAGGAAACAACCTACTTAAGAGATATCCTACAGGATGGGAGATAATATTTGCAAAACTATACATCTCAAGTGGGATTAATATTCAGAATGTATAAGTAACTCAATCCAATAGCAAAAAAATCCAATTTTAAAAATGGGCTTGAGATCTGAACAGACATTTCTCAAAAGAAGACATACAAATGGCAACAGGCATGAAAAAATGCTCAATATCACTAACCATCAAGGAAGTGCAAATAAAACCACAGGAGATACACCTTAGCCCACTTAGAGCAGCTATTATCAAAAAGATAAAACTATAACAAAGGCTGGCCAGGACATGGAGAAAGAGGAAATATTAACCATTGTTCATGAGAATGTAGAGCTATATGGAAAACAGACTGGAGGTTCCTCCAAAAACTGGAAATAGAACTTCCATAGGATCTAGCAATTCCACTATTGAGTATATATCCAATATATATTGAGTATATATTGAGTATATATATATATGTCAAAAAGACACCTACCTTCCCATATTTATTGCAGTACACAGCCAGGAAATAGAACCAACTTAAATGTCATCAACAGATGAATGGATAAGGAAAGTACAGAGCATGTACAGATGCTCTGTGTGAGTCCTCATGAAAAGAAATAAGGTCGCTGAGGTCATGCCCTTACAGAGGATACTGGATCTCTGGCCTCTTTCTTGATCTCTCTCTTGCTTCCAGGCCATCATGAAGAGAGCAGCTTCCTCTGCCACATGCTCTCATCATGATGTGCTACTTCTTTATAGGCTCCATAGCAACAGGCCAACCAACCATGGACAGAAACTTTCAAAACTGTGACCTAAAATACACCTTCCCCCTTATAAGTTTAGTTTCTCAGGTATTTTGTTACAGTGATGATAAGCTGACTAACACAGTTGTACAAAAAAGGAAGAATTCTGTCATTTGCAGCAACATGGATAGAACTGGAGGTCATTATGTTAAGTAAGTTGGACATAGAGAGACAAAGACTACATGATCTCACTCAAATAGTGAATGTAAAAAAACCTGATCTCATAAAAGTTGAGAACACAATAGCAGCTACCAAAGATTGGGGCAAATAGGGAAGAGGATGGGTAGTGGATCTCATACCACAGTTAGACAGGAGGAATACTTTCTGCTGTGGCAGGATAGAGGTGAACACAGTTAACAATAATGAACTATATATTTTAAAATAGTTGGAAGAGAGGATTTTTTTAATGTACTCACCATAAAGAAATGATAAAAGTGATAGATATGCCAATTACCCTGATTGGTCATCACCCAACATATACCTGTACCAAACATCACACTGAACCTCATAAATATATGTAAGCATTATGTGTCAGCAAAAAAATAGAATTCAAAAGCCACAAAACATTATTAGGGTAGAAAGTATCACATCTGAATGTTAAAAGGTTTAACTCTAAATCATTCTAAATATTAATCCACCTAATAAAGTTGTCTCAAAACATACAAACCAAAGATATTTGGAACTAGAGAGAAAAACAGAGGTGGGAGATTTCTACACCTCTCTTCATTAGGAATGGGCCAAGCAGACAAAAAAGTCAGTAAAGAGACACAGAAAAGTTGAGTAAAACAATAGCCACAAAACACCTATGATGAAAAGCAATCCAGTATCATAGGATAGAAAAGGCACAGAATTTGAGAAACAGAACACCTCTCTAAGTAAAAAGTCTGTCAGTTTCAAGCTATGTGAACTTAAGCATGTTATTTATCTTTACTAGGGTTATTTCCTTATTTGCTAATAAAAAGACTCATTATCTAACACTATGCCAGGCATAGTTGTTCAGTAAGCATTGAGAAATGAATGAATTAAAAATATGCAAAACATAAAAAGCATTTACAACCCATGAAAGTCAGTTCTACATCCCCTTGCATTAACACCTAGCAGGAGGGAACTGATTGTAAAATGACGTGAAGGAACCTTTTAGGGGATGAAAATGTTCCATATCATGACTGTGACACTGCTTACACAACTGTATATCTGTGCCAAAACACATCAAATTGTCCACTTAAAATTGTGGAATTTAATATATAAATAATACCTCGATAAAACTAACAGAAAAGTGGAGGAGGGGTGGTAACAAGATCTTGGCTTCTAAGTTAGAAGATACTGCAACTATACCATGTTTTCTCCTTTTCCTATTGCTTAAAATAACTGAACAGTTAATTCACTTTTATCTTAAAACATCTGTAATATGAAATATACAGAGAATAAAATATAAAACATACAATATTAAAGAATAACCTTGTAACACAGGAATTCAATTTCTTCCTTAAATTAAAATTTAAAAATGCTTATTATTTGCTGGAAAGACTATAAAAGGCCTTTACAGTTTTCTTTCAACTTTGGAGCAGACACTCACCTCTTCCTTTGATGTGTCTGAGTCTGAGTCAAGTTGCAGTGTGAGATACATGATGATATGCGGGGTGTTTATGGTACTCTGCTGGATGTCTTCAACCTCGTCTCCCCACACGAGTTTCACTAAATCATTTGCATTTGACTGCGTCTTTTTCTTTCTTGGTTGGGTTGTTTCCTTTTTCTCAGCATACACATTTTCAAATGTCAGTTTGACCTTAAAAATTGAAACAAGGCAAATCAGCTGCACTTTTCATGAAGAAGGATTTGTGCCTGTTGGTATGCTCGGTTGTATGTAGTGTGGACAAATCATTCCAGAGCAAGGGTTCCTGATGGCAGGAACTGTGTATTCTATTTCATATTTTATCTCTAGTTTCTTGCACAGTGGCTGGCACATATGTACCGAGTAAGAATGCATAATGCTCTGTACAAAAATTCACGTATTTAAACTTAAACTTAATCACTGACTGCACAAACAAGAAATGTCACGAAGAAACAGAAATTGATATGATCTGATAGTGTAGTAAGAGTAACACTATATTATGATTACTAATAGCACTGACCCATGTGAAGAAAACAGAAGGAAGGGATGGAGGATTAAGGTCAACCTCACACACCAGACTTAGTTCCCTGTCAAATGAGGTGATGTTTCAAATTCCCTCTCAGACATTCTTTGTGGTCCTTTAAAACAAAGGCCAAGGGTGGTTAAAAAAAAAAAAAAAAGTATCAACATGCTCACCATCCCTAGCAATAAAGGAAATGCAAATTAAAATCACACTAAGATTCCACCTCACCCCTGTTAGAATAGCCATCATCAAAAACACCACCAACAGTAGGTCTTGGCGAGGATGCGGGGCGGGGGCGGGAAAAAGGAACCCTCTTACACTGCTCGTGGGAATGTAAAGTAGTACAATCACTCTGGGAAAAAATTTGGAGGCTTTTTAAAAATCTAAACATTGATCTACCATATGATCCAGCAATACCACTCTTGGGGATATATCCAAAAAATGTGACACAGGTTACTCCAGAGGCACCTGCACACCCATGTTTACTGTAGCACTATTCACAACAGCCAAGTTATGGAAACAGCCAAGATGCCCCACTACTGACAAATGGATTAAGAAAATGTGGTATTTATACACAATGGAATTTTATGCAGCCATGAAGAAGAATGATATGTTATCATTCGCAGGTAAATGGATGGAACTGGAGAACATCATTCTGAGTGAGGTTAGCCTGGCCCAAAAGACCAAAAATCGTATGTTCTCCCTCATATGTGGACATTAGATCAAGGGCAAACACAAGGGGATTGGACTTTGATCACATGATAAAGCAAGAGCACACAAGAGAGGTATGAGGATAGGTAAGACACCTAAAAAACTAGATAGCATTTGTTGCCCTCAACGCAGAGAAACTAAAGCAGATACTTTAAAGCAACTGAGACCAATAGGAGAAGGGGACCAGGAACTACAGAAAAGGTTAGTTTGAGAAGAATTAACTTAGAAGGTAACACACATGTACAGGAAAGCAATGTGAGTCAACTCCCTGTATAGCTATCCTTATCTCAACTAGCAAAAACCTTTGGTCCTTCCTATTATTGCTTATACTCTCTCTTCAACAAAATTAGAGATAAGGGCAAAATAGTTTCTGCCTGGGGTTAGGGTAAGTAAGGGAGGGGGGGAGTAAGGGAGGGGGCAGGGGGAAGGGGGAGAAATGACCCAAACATTGTATGTACCTATGAAAAAAAAAAAGAAAGAAAGAAAAAGTATCAACGTGCTGGATCTTGGCCTGTGGACCTAAGATTATCTGTAGTTTTATCAAGACAGTTTTATTTTCATGGCCTGATGTCAAGATTGGTAAGAATGTAGGATGTGGCCATTTTCCAGCTGTCGAAAGGTACCTTCCCCTTCTCAGTTACCTCTCTTTGAAAAAGGAGAGGTTCAAATGGGTGGACCAGCTGGCTAGAGATCTCTCACTCATTTCAAAGAAACACCAGTATGTGTTTTGACTAAATTTTCACTGGATATAGTTAATTGTGCAATGAGGATATCATCATAAGCTTAGTAAGTACAGAGTACTCCTAATGTTCAAAATCTTGGAATATAGATGAGTAAAACAGACATTGTAATATATTAATCCATAAAGTTCTAAATTTAAACATTATTTCTTTTAAAGTAAGATTAAAAGAAAATTAAATTCATGCTTGACTAAAAATAAAGAAGCCTAGTCAATATTTAAAAGCAGATAAACTTGTTTGAATTAGCAAATTACATTTTGGAGGAGGATATTTAATAAATAATCCCTATTCTTAATAATAGGTACCATTTTCAAGGTCAACTTTACTTATTCTATTTTTTGTGGGACTGGGGTTTGAACTCAGGGCTTTGAATTTGCATATCAGGTGCTCTGCCCAACTTGAGTCACTCACACCTCCAGTCCATTTTGCTGTGGCTAGTTTGAAGATGGGGACTCTCAAACTATTTGCATGGGCTAGCTTTGAACTTCAGTCCTCTCAATCTCAGTCTCTCAAGTGGCTAGGATTATAGGCGGAGCCACTGGCACCCAGGTAAGGCCAACTTTTAATAAACACTAATGCATTATAGTCACTCTTCTTAAAAATGAGCTTTATATATTTTCATTAAAAATATTAAGCATATTAAAAACATTAGTCATAACCTTATCCACCCACCCATTACCAGTATTATACTATAAAATAAATATGTCTTGAACGAAAATATTCCAAAAGAAAAAAAATGAGACATTCTTTTTTTGTTGGCAAGGAGCTAACTGTTTACGCTTATATTCACTTTTTCTTATCTTCAGAAGATGGCGGCATTTCATGGGCACAGATCATCTCTGTGCACCTAAAGTGAATTAAGTTAAACACACATCTCTTCTAAGTCCCAGGCTTTAATTGTACAAACAAGTTGCTATGGCTTGCATCTTCAGTGTCCCCCAAATGTCCATGTGCTAAAGGCTCGATCCTCAGGGTGGCACTACTGGGGTGGTGGAACCTTTAAGACGTGGGCCCCATTGGAGGTTCTGTCACTGGAGGCATGCCCTAGAAGGGAATGTGGGACTCCTGCCTTCCCCTCTCTCTCTTTCTCTTTCTGTCTCTCTCTCTTTCTCTCTCTGTCCCCCTCTCTGTCTTTCCCTTCCTCCCTCCCTCCATCTCTTTCTCTCTCTCTTCTACTACTTCTCCTCCCATGAGGTAAGCACTTTTGCTCCCTCCCTCACTCCTCACCACTGCCATCCAGGAACCTTACCAAAGTCCTAAAAGTAACAGGCTCACCTGAACATAGGCTGGAACCTCCAAAGCTGTGAGCCAAAATAAACCTTTTCTCTTTATAAGGTATTTACCCCAGGCATTTATTATAGTGATGGCAAGCTGACTAACACACAAGTAGAAAAGAAGAGACATCCAGAGTCAAGATGAAGTAGGTCAAGACCAGCAGTAATCTGCACACAGAGACAAGGGGAGAAGGCCTTCATGAAATTTTTCTGAGGCTTGATAATCAATCATATTTCTAATTTCAAATGGAAGAGAATAATGTTTGTTTTTATGTTTTCTATAAATCTGATGTTGAAACATGGCCCTTGATATCTGAACACTATATCAAAAAAAGCTGAGTAGAAAATTACTATATTTATGGGAAAAGGATGTTAAGCAAATTAAACAAAAATATGAAACTTAGAAAATGTACAAGGTTAAAGTGAGACAGAGTTGAAAACACACTACTGACTCAGGCTCGGCCAGTCACAGCACCACTTTCAGCAGGAGATGGTTTGCCCAGGGCCAGGGTCCACTTGGCATGTGCAACTGAGGAGATACCTGTGAGGAATGCTGCTGCACCGGATGCCTCTGCAGGTGTCTAATGACTCCTCCATTATGGAGCACAAGGCATCAATCAGAATTGAACTCTGTGACATCCTGGACCCTGAACCCATGGAAAGCTTCCCTACACCATACCATGCTGAGAAAAGCAACACCATTTCTCCCTGCCGCAGGCCAGCTCCAAAGCTGCTTGTGTGAATATGCAGAATGAACAGGTGAGCATCATGCACCATGTACGATTCCCATACCCACCCCCAAGGAACATAATCCAGCACAATCCCTGGGCAGATTGAATCCCACCCCACCCCCCAGCAAAACTGACTGTAACACTTACAAAACTCCACTGTAACACTTACAGCATAGATGGGGGTGGAACACTGAATTTGCCTTGGAGAACAGGGGTGAGACAAGGAGCCAAACTCTCAGTGCTGAACTGTCAGTGAACATGGGAAAAGCAACAGAAGCTGAGAGTGGGGGTAGGGCGATAAGCCAATCTCTCAAAGTGGGGCAGGTGGTGAATTGCCCCACCTTGCTAGGGAAGAAACTGACCAAACAGAATTGCAGCTGTAGGGCAATGCAGCTGCTGCCTAGTGAAAACAACAACAGCTCTGACCACCCTGCACAAACTGGCAGACTTACCTCACCTCCCAATTGCAACCAATCATGTGGACAGAAGAAACCAAGTACTACTCACAAGCCAGTCACCTGGTGAGACCATATCAGAGCTCCTGCTTGTACACCAATACCAGGATTGGACACCTAAGGAAAAACTCCAGAACTTTTACCAAACAGACTGAACTTTTTGTTGTTGCTATACCTGGTGTGTTTTTTTTTCTTTTCTTTTTTTCTGCATTAACTTTACCACCACTATTTCTTATTCTTATCACCTTCACTCTCTCTCCTTTTCCTGTTCTACAATCCATTGTTCTCCCTCCGAACTACTTTCTGCCCTTTCTTATCCACTCTTTCCCCGTCTTCACCTTCCCCTCCTATCCTTCCCCAACCTTTCATCATAGTACTCCTCCCTTCTACACATTCACCACCTGCTGACTAGCCTACTGTACCAACTGTACACAACCCCAGCCCCATAAACAAAAATACGAAACTGACACAAGCACCCTCCTCTACAACAACAGTAATACACCGAAACATGCACAAGGGCCACAAAACCCAGCAGCCCCATGCCTCTTCCCCCACTCCTCCCTTACTCTCCTCCCTTACTCACCCCCCCCTTTTAGTGCCACCTTTACCAATTACCTAAGTTTCTGTATCTAGCCTAATAACGATTACCTCCCCCAGCTCCACTGTTTATAGATATTATCACCAAGGGGTTTTCTACATAATATGTAAACAACTGGTCTGGCATTGAACCTGTGAATTTG